GGTCACTCATTACTGGATCAGTGAGCTGCATGAGACGATACTGACAGGCTGTCAGGAGAGAGAGAGAGGGGAAGAGAGGAAAATATTTATCCCGTGTTATTATCCAAAGTTAATGTAAACTTGAATAATGTACTTCATTTGAATGTAATAATGATGTTGGTTGTTGTTTGTGGAAGCGCCAGTGAATGAGCCCCATTAACTGAGTTTTAAACATCACTTTAAATGGAAGATCCCCATAGGCCCCGCCCACTCGATCAGATCGGCGATCGGTATCGGCCGATACTGATTCCGGTGCTCGGCCCCAAAATTGGCGATTGGAGGATCCCTAGTTGTAATCCATATTATGGTAAGAATGACTCAACTCAGTAAAGAAAAACGATCGTCCATCATCACTTTAAGAAATGAAGGCCAGACGATCCGGAACATTTCAAGAACTTCTCAAGAGCAGTCGCAAAAACCATCAAACGCTATGAGGACCCCCCCGGGAAAGGAAGAACAAGAGTTACCTCTGCTGCAGAGGATAAATACACAAGAGTTACCAGCCTCAGAAACTGCAAATTAAAGCACCTCAGATTGGAGCCAACATAAACGATCACAGAGCTGAAGTAGCAGACAAATCTCAACATCCACTGTTCAGAGGAGACTGCGTGAATCAGGCCTTCATGGTCCAATTGCTGCAAAGGTCCACTACTGAGGATGAACAACAAGAAGAAGAGAATTGTTTGGGCCAAGAAACACAAGGATTGGACATTAGACAGTGGAAATCTGTACTTTGGTCTGATGAGTCCAAATTTGAAATGTTTGGTTCCAACCTCTGTGTCTTTGTGAGACGCAGAGAAGGTGAGCGGATGGTTTCTGCATGTGTGGTTCCCACCGTGAAGCATGGAGGAAGAAGTGTGATGGTGTGGGGGGGCTTTGCTGGTGTCACTGTTGGTGATTTATTCAGAATTCAAGGCACACTTAACCAGCATGGCAACCACAGCATTCTGCAGCGCCATGCCATCCTATCTGTTTTGCTCTTACTGGGACCATCATCTGTTTTTTAACACATCATGACCCTAAACACATCTCCAGGCTATGTAAGGGCTATTGGACTAAGAAGAAAAGTGATGGAGTGCTGCATCAGATGACCTGGCCTCCACATAGTTTTGATGTCTTCAGTATTAATCTACAAGGTAGAAAATAATTAAAATAAATAAAAACCTTCGAATGAGCAGGTGTGTCCAAACTTTTGACTGGTAGTCTACTGTACACGTTTTGTTCGACAGGATAATCTCAACATATTAACAGTACTTTATTATTTATGAAGCGTAAATTCAATTGCCAAAAATCCAAAGATAATATAAGGTGGTGACGTGACTTCCTATCAACATGTCATCAGCGCTAAGCTAAAGGTGGCTAATGTTTGGCATGATGGATTTCAGCATTCTCAGTTAGCAGCTTGCTAGCCACCGCCATTTTAGGATGAAGAGATATTCATGTTTGGTTCTACGGCTGATATACAGTATATTGGCAAATAGCCCACTGGTGTATGTCTGGAGTTAAAACATTATAATAACTATTAATAATTCAACTACTATAAAGTGGTGTTAATATGTGGAGATTATCCTGCTGAAAAAAACATGTAGGCTAAGTATCAAAAGTGTGATTGCCACAGAGCTTAATTTCTGCACTTTTTCTAAATCAAAAGGAAATCTTTTTGCTTTTTGTTAAGGTATCCCATGCAATGCTAACTTCCCGGTCGGCCTACAAAAATCATCCCTGCATCATTCACACACTGTCTTCTACTCACTGTCTCTGCACCTTGTTTCCAGCTGACCCCAGACATCCTATGAGAGCACTGGACCCCATCAGACCGGATCCCCCTATTCACCCAAAACCCACCGTTCATGAGCGCCCAGTCGGCCCCTTGCCGCCTAAACCTGCCGTGGCAGCCAAGCCTCCCCTCCCCACCCCGGCCTCTCCTGCCGGGGGGGCAACCCGTCCCTCCTCCGCTCCCCCCCCCAGCAGCTCAGCAGGGAGGGTGCAGCTCAGACACATCCATGACGGCCGGCTGAGCGATACTACAGCACAGGTAACACTGCAGTCAGTCAGAAACTTCAGAGGGAACCCAGCAGCAAGAGTGTCATGTCAATGCCTTGTTAATATTTACCTCTTATGATAACTTTAAACTGATAACAACACAGGAGGAAATGCTTTGAAGCATGAACTTGTTACACTGAAAGAATTAAACATTGACTCTAATTAAATGTATTGAATTAAATGTGTCAACAGGTTACACATTATTGTATTAGGTTAGTTGAAAGCAATACTATTAAGTTGAACCTATTATTTTGTATTTAAACTAGGGCTGTCAAGTTAACGCGTTAATAACAAAAACATTTATAAAAAATGAACGCAACTAATTATTTTAACGCGATTAACGCATGTGTATTTTTTGTCCTCGGCCGCCCCGTAGTTTCAGAGCGCATCGACTTTAAAATACCATCTACATGCTGATGCTGACAGCCCCGCTCCTGCCGTCCGCTTGCGGCAGACCACACTTCCACACTCACCGGCAGGCACCGACTGGCCATCGGGAGGACCGGGAGGGTGTGTGTATGTGTGGCGCGAACGAGAGAGAGAGAACGGGCACACCTTACGTGTATTGTTGTTGTTAGCATCTGGTGCTAGCTAGCTGCGCTAACGGATATAAGGAGCTGTTTCAATGAAAACAGAGGAGCGACATTTCGCCGACAACTGCGCCGAGCACTTGACTTTATGCAGGTAGCCAGACACATTGTACGAAAAGTCAGCACACTTAGCACGGATAGTGCGCGATTGCAGCGTCCAGGCAGCTCCCGTTTGAGCGTATGCCTTGAGTTACACATAGCTCCAACGATCCATCACAGTGCGCACACACACACACACACACACACACACTTTGTATTGTATTATTGTATGAGAGAGGTTCCAGGCTGAATTGAGGCGGATATTTGTAATGTTGAGAGGTTGTTATGTTTAATATTCATGAGATTATTTCTCATTGATCAAATGATAATAAACAAACATTTGTATAAAGCATATTTTATACAGTTAAAATTACAATTAAAAAGGTTAACTACTATAATTTACCAGCATTCCATTTGAATTGTGAATTAAAATTAGGGTATGCTGATTCATGGAGGCCACAAGATTAAAGATCCCCTAGTACACTGTTTTTCAATATATTATAGGTCTCAGATATATACAAAAAAAATCTCTGAAGTGTTTGGCTCCAAACACCAAACAGATCATTGTAGCATCCCATAATCCCCTCTGTTTCAGCCCTATTTCAAAAGTGCTGATCCTCTGTCTGTTACTTTAGATGAAAATAAGGAGCCACTCCCCACGCCCCTCTGAGAGATATTTGGTTAAAAAGAACACAATGGTGCTCTAGGAGGAGATGCAGGTGAGTAAGGGGGGGGGGGGGGTTACCTTATGGCATCATAAAAAAGCGCTAAATAAATCCCATTTATTATTATTATTATTATCATAAAGTGGCCAAAATCTGATCAGCTCATTTTCAGACAGGTTTTTATATAAATGGAACAGGACAAAAGGTGAGCTAATCTTTTTTTCCTGAAACTTTCAGAATATCTTTACACAGAGGGGACACGTGTTTATGTAGAAAAGAAATGAAAAAGTGGATTTTGCATAATATGTGACCTTTAAAGAATGAGGAAGGTTTGGGCATGAAAACAGAGAGATTTGGTGTGGTGATTGTAATGCTGACAAAACATTATGGGGGGAGGGCAGCAGACTACAAAAAGCAGACAGTTCAGTAACCAATAGAGAATGAGAGGATATGTTTTTTTTTCAAACTAAGGAAAATTTACTTTATTATGATGAAGATAAAATAAATTAGAAGAAAATACTGCAGGGTACATCACATTTCTGTGAAAAGCACCTGTAACATATGGGTTAAAATGGTGCACTGAAGAATGCTCTGAAGGGTAGAAAGTAAAAAAAAAAAAAAGAAGACAGCATGTATTGGATTATGAAAAGCTTCAGCATAAGCAAAACAAAAGATCAATGCAACGTTAAGAAAGACAACTGCTGAAAAGCTCTAAGAAGAAAAACCATGAGAGGAGGTTGCCAGAAGGAGGGGGATACAAACCATGCACTGCTTTCATAAAGAAGTTACATTCAATAAATAAATATAGTGAAAAAAACGATATTTGTTGAATACACTTAAGAAAGAAAGATAGAAAATGAACACATTTGAGGTATATGTGATACATTTCTTCCCATTATTTATCATTGAGGGTGAACTGAATTTTAGAAAGACAAGAAACACAATACAAATCAACAGTAGCACAAACTACAACTGAAGTAAGGATTTGTTCCACAATGGTTGTTTAGACTTCTGAGCTAGGTGTATCACCATAAACTACTTTTGATTTCCATATTGCAACATGCATTCCCTGCCTCCATGCTCAGTCAGTCAGCACATACACATTCACAGCAGCCTCCCCCACAATCTGGAACTCCCTCCGCAGCCACGTCAGATCCGCCAACACTCCCACATCATTCAAACAATCCCTCAAAACTCACCTTTTCACTCTTGCCTTCAACTCCTAATCAACTAACCCCTTGCCCTTATTCCACCTAGCTTAGCACTTTCTACTTTTGTTGTTATTTTGTTTTACTTGCTTGTAAGCGCTTTAAGCACCAGGAAAAGCGCTTTATAAATGTAATGTATTATTATTATTATTATTATTATTATTGTTTGTGTCACGGCTCGCTGAGTTTTATCCTCTGATCTTCTTATCCAGAACGGCAGCCAGGAGCGGCCCCCGGGTGCAGCCTCCACTCTGTCCCCCAGGAAGGAGCTGCTCCCCTCTGCTCCGTCTGCCTGGAGGGGGCCCGGCACACAGGAGCGCTCGGAGAAAGCACAGTCAGTGACCGACGGTACGTCTCACTGAAACCACATCCTCCTCCATATTAGAAGTGGATTGGTATGGATGAAAAGTAAAGTTACAAATACAAGGTATAATCAAAAAGTAGCAGCATTATGAAGTTAGTGAGTATTGAAAAAAGTACCAGGTATAACATAATTAAAATGTAAAAGTAGAAATTGCAAATTGCTATCTCCCAACATTTCTTACAGTCTTAGGGAGTGAATAGCAGACAATATTAAACTGTGCTAATATGTGTGTGTGGTCTACCACATGTTAGTAGGTTTTACATTATTACATGTTACTTGTTATATCCAAAGCGACCTACATACTCAATACTGTGGACAATCCCCACAGGAGCAATTTGGGGTGAAGTGTCTTCCCCACGGACACAACGACATGTTGACTGCAGTGGGGTTTGAACCTGTGACCCCCTGATCCCAACACCAACACACTAGACCACTACGCCACACGCCTCCTACATTTAGTAGCTGAAGAAAAGCTGATTTGTTTATTCACTTGTATACTTTCAGAGAGTCTTCCTAAGACACGGCAACACTTGAAGCCCGTTCTGAAACGCAGAGCTGTGTCGGTCCATGAGGACACTCTGGCCATGACGCAAGGTGAGGCTTTGAAAACTAAAGGAACAACAGCGAGGTTATTGATTCAGCAGAAACGAGAACATGATAGAATTGTCTGGCTCTTGAAATTCTCCTTTTCCATGAAGGCCTTCGTCAGCAGTGAATAACAATTGTCTGGAACATTCTCAAGCAAATTCCTAAAAAGGCCAGGGGTGAAGCCGCTCTCTCAAGCTTTATATTACATACATGTTAAATGTTCTCTACTTTAAAGCTGTGAAAAGAACAGCTGATAAGGATTCAGCATCACCCTGTTCCCTCATGGAGAACCCTGATACAAACTGACATTTCACTTTACTTTTGTTTATACATAAATACTGATACACTACTTGACTTGTGTACTTGGCTTTTATAGTTATTTTGTACACACGGTCAAGATTAAAGTTAAAATCTGTCTCCATGTCTCTCAGAGCTGAAGGCGGTGCTGCAGAGGTCTCCTATCCGTTTCCGCGGCTCCAGAGGAGACCTGCCCCCCTGCACTGAAGACCCTCCCTGTGTGGAGAAAGCACAGAGAGCTCAGGAGGGTGAGAGGAGGGTTCATGCTCATAACTGAACTCTGCATCTCTCTTAATATAAGAGACATGTTGCTTATTTCTTTCTGTTGAAACACATTCTCACTGCAAAAAACCCAAATCTTGCAAATTATATTTGTCTAATCTCTAGTCAGAATATGTCTTTATAATAGATAGACATAATAACTTAAAGAGCATCTTGCAGGTTTTTATTTTTTCTACATTTATGCTTAAACTTGCTTGAAAATTACAATTAAAAAAGTGAATGCAGGATTTGATATGTTTTACGAGACATAAGGGCAGGAATTCAGAGGGAAAGGAGCAAATTTGAGCTCTGCTCTTAAAAACGGCTTTTTTTTAAGGTCATACGTCAAACGCGTCATATTACATCACACAGGGGACACATCTCCGCTCTCTGACCGCGGGTATAGTAGAGTTGCGTTGAGTAGAGCGGTTGTGTTTTAAGGAGCTGGTATTTTTCGGTAGTTTTACATTGTATTTCACCATTTGTAATCATGGTGCACTATTGTGTTTGTGCAGGTTGCAAAAATACCAGCCTGTCAGGACATCAAGTCCACAGTAAAAAGGACCGGAGCTAGCGTTCGTTCCTGGGTGCGTTGTGCATCCACCTCCCTGCAGCACATACTCTCCACAGCTTTATCAGGAAACCGTATTACTTCTCTCTCCCCCCCCCTTCGCTGCTCTCTCTCTCTCCCCTCCGGTCAGAGTCCTGCATCGGGTCGGGTATCCGCGGGTACCCGACGGGTGACCCGCAAAAAAGGTGATTTGCGGGGGTATTTTTCCAACCGCTTTTTTCCGGTTCGTTCTGGGTAAAACAAAAGATGATGCGGGTCGGGTGCGGGTGTTGCATAATAAATATATTAAATAAATAATTTGGTTTAATGTTTAAATCCTCAGACTTCTCCCCCGCGGGACGAGCATCAATCATAACCTCTGCAGCGATCTATCTGCTGCTGAACGCGCCACATTCTAAATGGCTGGGGTGGAAGCTCTCTAGCGGAGAATACAGCATTTTCAATAACTCTTCTCAAGAGCGAAATCCATGTCTGGGAGGCTTTTGGTGTCGTTCCTAGATGCAGAAAATAACCAACATCCCAGGCTTTTTGAGCCAAATATGCAACTGCGTGTGTTAATAATTGCACGTTTTCACTGCTTATATATATGCGGGTTCGGGTCGGGTTGCGGATCTTTGTGCCGGCGGGTCGGGTCGGGTTGCGGAACTAATTGGCAATATGTGCGGTAGCGGGGCGGGTTCGTATGCACGTCGCGGGTGCGGGCGGGAGCGCGGTCTTGAAAATCAGACCCGTGCAGGACTCTGCCTCCGGTACACAGGGCACCGTAAGACATTGCATTAGGTAACGGCTGTGGTGGCATATACTGCTCCAGCCGTCCTCCTTTGTGTTTGTTTTTTCCCCCTGTCGTTGTTGTTTGTGTGGCCGTGGTGGGCTGTCACTCCTGGCTCCCGGCTCAACCTCCACTCACCTGCTGCAATCAGCTGTGCACCCTCCCCGACCTACACACCTGCTTTCCATCAAGCCATTTACAACGGCATATCGAACGGAGGCTCCACAACCTTTCTGCCGCCAGATCGTCAAGTATCCACCGTATCTCGCGTCTCTCCTCCGGGTACACCAGCACCGTAGTGTTGAGTTGCATTAGGAACGCGAGATACGGCTGATACTTGGCGGCATTAGTTTCTGTTATGGATCAGTATCAACAGTCCCGCCCAGTAACGTTACTATATAATCAATGTTACTTTAGTTATAGCCTGATATATGATAGCTAACTTTACAATGTTGTGATGTGACGTTAGCTAACATTCTGCAGCTAACGGCTCGGTCACTCACCAAGACAGCTGCCCCAGTTCTCGCACTGGTTCTCATCACACCACAGCTCAAGTTCTCTCCCGATGGCTTTATTGTCTTCTAATCCTTGGCTGCTCCTGGTCTCTTTGGACGCCTAGCAGGCTATATTATAAGTGTGGTCCGTCATATTGCATTTGAATATTCATATTCAACTTCTTCTGTGTCTTCTGTGTAGAAACAAGCATTGGATCCATGTTTATTAATACGTTACACCGGTCCGCCCTCCCCTTGTTCCCCGCCCGTGTACGCACACGGCGGGAGGTCACGTGCCGAGGCTTTTTTATGCCGAAGTGAACATTTCTTACAAAAACGACGCCAGAAATGTCACGTAGTGATATGTTTTGTATTTTTTTTGAAAAATCTAGTGTCTTCATCGCATTGTTCGCTACACATTTAATTCACAAGGGTCTTGTAACCTGGAAGTTGCTCTTTAAGAAGTAAACAAGGCAGTGAGATATAGGCATGATTTTAAACAATGCATCCTAAGTACTGGTATCTATTAAGTCAAAAGACTCTTAAAACATCTTATTTTGAGTTGTAGCTCAGATGAAACATGTCACAAGGTTTCTTAAGCTAGGTGTGGTATTTGGAAAAGATTAATCGTCTTGTTTAAAAAATTAAAAAAAATCATTACTTGGATATTAGAAAATCACCAGAAAACGAAAGCATTTCTGGCTTATTGTAACACAACATCTCCTGATCCTGGGTCCAAAATAGTTCCAAAAAATCCCTTTTCCCAGCTAATTAACAGGAATTAAATTTATCTAAATACAGGAATATCTTGTTTCAGGAAAATCTTACCGAAATGCAGATTTTTTACGGGAGCCCCCTAGGGGCATAAGAAAAGAGATCTCAAAAACCTTTGCGAGATCCAGCAATACTTGTTGCGAGATCTTCAAAACTTTTCCCATTTTAAGCTCAATGTACTCCTGGTCAGTTCGGGCTGCTATGGCAACACAGAAACCACAATAATGGAGTGTTCATCGATTTACTTTGGCCGCTTGCCTTAAATACTAAAGATAATAACATCAGGCTTGGCCAATAGCACAGGTTTGTTCACACATACAGTAGGCAATACATCAAACTTGCACACTCATTTGAAAAGGCATCACCTGAACGTGAATATCACCTCGGTACCAAAAGAAAAAAGACTGAAGTAGGCAAAAACCCCCCCAAGAACCTCCCACTAAGCATTTAAGCCTCCACCAACTCGCAAAAAGTTCAACCGAGCCAAAGCCTATTACAAAGGCCAAATATCCTTAATGTTGCCCATGTTAATGCAATAGCGGCTACCTGGCTGTATGCTGCTAACCCTCTGTACCGTAGCGAGAGGGGTGTTCTCTACAGGGCAGGAAAGGAGAGCATTGTTAGTGCAAGTAGATCTGCCCTTTCGGAAGGCCATGTGGACAAGTTAATTTTTCTTTAAAAAAACATGAAAATACAATGACAAGCAAGGTCCAAAGTCAGACTGGCTGCTTAGGTACTAGTACAGTCACAGTCTCAAATAGCAGATTCATTTCAGTTAATCGAAATGCTGCACCCTTATCGTTTATTTTATTATATCGTAGTGTATTTTGAGTGCAAATACATTAATTCACAGTTTAATAATAATTTTAAAAAACCCAAAAACATATATGTTTTGGATAATTTTTCTGCTGTAGCCGAAAACGTACGCGAACCTAACCCGTGACCATAAAAACCGAAATGTTTGTGAACCGTTACACCCTCCTGTATATATGAAAGGGTTTCACATAAGTGAAGACACCTCAAGAGAGCATTTAGAGCGAGGGGACATGCACGTCCCTCTGAGCTGAGTTATTGACAGATTCGAATTTCGCGGATCAATAACTCATGAACATAACGTTGTAAGACAACGAGTTACAGAGTCATTTTTATCAGAACAGTTCGATACGCGCCGTCATACGAGCTAAACATCAAGAATTAGTCACAATCTGCAGCTTGAGGAGGGAGAGGAGTGCTTAGGGACCGTCTACAAACTGCAACGGGGTTTTGCGTGATATCGCAAAAGTATTGCGAGATCTCGCTAAGGTTTTTTTTATTTTTATTTTCAAACATTTTTTTTTTCTTCTCCATGTCCCCTAGGGGGCTCCGTAGATTTTCACTTGTTCTATTGGCAGATATTTTTCTTATAATAAGTGAAAAACGATAACAAACAAAAACGCTGTGTTTTCATTATTTCTGTACTTTTTTTTGGAGCAGCATTTCTTTCAGTGCTTACATCTGTCTATCTGTTCTTCTTCCATGCAGCCGGTCACGCAGGGAAACAAGAAGAGAAGAGGAAGACTGTCCAGGATGAAAAGGAGCTGAAGGCAGAAAGAGGCAGGATGGGCTGTGGAGCTGAAACTAAGCCCCTCCCCCCAGGCTCAGCGTGTCCCTCCTCCATAGAAGCATCAGCAGCCCGACTCTTCAGTCCAACTGCAGCCTCCGACAAACCCCCACCCGTCCTGGAGAGGCTGACCCACGGTCTCCAAAAGCCCCCTGTAACGCCCCCATCTGAGCAGAAGAGCCCCAGCACAGGCCCCCGTTTTCCTCAAACTCTAGAAAAACGGCTACTGTCCCCACCCTCCCAAGAGAAGACCCCCGGCACAATCTCAGCTATATCTGAATCCCAAGAAAACCCGCGAGTTAGCCCCCTGTCCCTCAAGAAGAAAAGCCCTGGCACAGCCCCCCCCCCAGAGGAGGGGAGGAACAGCACACAGGAGGAGCTCTCTAAAATGCACACAGTGAAAGCAGCAGACCAAAGAACTGAGCCCCCTCTGTCCGAATAACACAAACACGGACTTAAAAAAGGACATAAGACGCACCTGGGAAGAGAGGGGGGCTGTGACATCACTGAGATCAGGATATAGGAGGGTATACCAAGTCTGAGAACAGCATGAATGTTGTACCCCCCTGTAGAAAGCTGCTGTGTCCCGTGTCAGGGTGCTCTCTTTGAAAGTCTCAGACCCAAGACCCTGTGTCCACACAGCGTCTCCACGTCTTGACAACGTTGCTGTTGCGTGACAGGCTAGCATCGCCCCTTTTCATTTTATTAAATATTTCAGCTACTTTTTATTTGTTTGCCAATTTGTTTCACCATTAGCAACAACTGGAGGATTCTTGCTCTCACACATTGTATAATTGAGCTTGTCACAACTAGATCCAAATATGGGTAGAGTACAACACTCACCTGCTCTGCTCAAACTATGCTGTATGTCTTTGTTTTGCTAGCTGAACATTTCTACAGCGATGTCGCCAGCGCTTTTCTGAAAATATTTTATATTTTCATCTCAAAGCATTTGCAGCATCAAAAAAAGACCCTGGTCTATTCTCAACGTTGCCGCATGTGCTCACTCCTCATTTGAATCAATTGAGAAAAATATGCTAGTGTTCAGAAAAGGCGCTATGTGGATACAGGCTCTAATTTAGTGCACATGGTTGGTGCATGTTTTGTTGCCATCTTACAGCGAACGTCTGCACAGTCGCTGTACTGTCCGTTTGAGGTGGATAAACACACACTGCACAAACCGTCCAGTGGTCAAACACCCAAAACATTAAAAAGTGGAAAAACTACATGACAAACAGGACCTTTACACAGTAGGCCATGAAATACACACATGCACAAATGAATGCAATTGATGAACAGCTGTTAGAGTGCTGGGCTGCAGCAGTTCAGCACCCTGGAGCTGTTGGGGGTTTGGTGCTTTGCTCAAAGACATCCCGACAGTATCCAGGAGGTGAACTGGCTCATCTCCAGCTACTAGTCCAAACCACGTATATTTTATAACTTGGACCAGTGACCATGTGGTTCCCAAGCCCGTGGCCTGTTGTGCTGAGGGCAAAATCTCTACGTTGATTAGGGCAGCTGTTTTAACATGCATCATCAGGGGAAAATCTGCATCCATTGCATGTTTGCATTAAGAAGGCAACTGATCGCCTGTAAACTCACTTTCCATTCAGTCTGAGGAAACCTTTAAGAGTCATCTGAGTCCTTCCAAGGAGGTTGGGTCTGAAATGGGACACAGACAGCATCAGCTGCATAAGTAACTGACAGGAGTGTGTGGTTGAGATATCTTTATTGTGTGATCTCCACACAAGGATGGCTAATTGAACAGAACGTCTATGAGTGTGGCTCATTAACACATCATGTCAAAGACTCACTTATTTCATATGTTATCATTTTTATTTAATAAGGGATTTAAAGGCACATGGTGTAATTTACAATTAAAAGAGTATATCTCTTCACTTTTCCTTGTTGATATTTTTTTCCCGAAGATGAACGGGTTCAGGGAAAAAGGCTCTTGAACTAGTTGGACATATTCCATCAATTGGATTTTGGTATTTCATCCACATTTATACATATGGCCCTCTTTTGCGTACATTTTTTTAAATTGGGCATTTGTGGTAACTCACATTTTTTATTGCATGATGTTTTTAACTCTACTTTTCCCCTCGTAATCCTCTGCTTTTGTTTTTGTCTATAGCTGTTTGGGAGAGAGTTTCTTTGCTCCTGTACAGTGGTGCAGTGATGACGATTTTTTTTGTGGGCCGACCGGGAAGTTAGCATCACCATGGCTCCCTCGACACAAAGCAGTGGGATATTTCCATTGGAATGTTACAAAAATGAGATCTGTGGCAAACACACGTTTATGATACTAACACATTTTGTTCAGCAGGATCATCTCCACATATTAACACCACTTTTATGATTTTAAGCTAAGCTAAAGGCGGCTAACATTTGGTGTGATGACATTTAGTCACATGTTAGCAACCGCTGAAATATTTTATGTCGTAGAACAAAACGTGAACATCTCTTCAGCTTGTTTTAACCACAGACCTTATTTCAGGCATCTAATTGAAAACGCCTTCAAAAAACTTTGAGTTCTAGACCAGGGAACATGAAGTGCTAAAATGCTAACTCATTCCGGGCTTTATAACTCATTCCTACGCCACTCAATAGTGCACACTGACAATTAGTTTGTCAGTTAATACACTGCAGATCTGCCTTACAGGGTGCCAAACTGCTCATCATGTAATCTAAGGCTTATTCACTCACACTCATACACTGATTGAGGAAATTGGGGTTGGGTGTCTTGCCCAAAGACAGCGCGGTTCAAGCGTGCCGTGCCCGTTTTTGGTTGTGTTTCCACTAGGCGTAGCTCCGGCTAGCGGGTACTTTTTCACAGTTTTCTGGCTCTCCAAAATCGAGGTTCTTTCAGGGTCAACAACCGGGCTGAGTATGCTAAACTAGTGAGAGAATCGCTGGCAACTACAACAAAATGAACATATTTTACCGTGATTTAATTGTAATACACGTTTCAAAATGATGCAGAAGTAACAACATACTGATACCGGTTAGTAAAAACCATGAATTAATGCTTTGACAAGTCTGCAGACAAGACGGCAGGCGAAAAACCTTTTAAAATGCGTGTTTTCTGAATGGAGACCGGTTAAGCTAACGTTGTATATGCACCGACCGCTACACTCACCCACAACGGCCTATACAGACATAAATAAACCAGCGGACTGTATTCGCCATGACACAGACAGTCTGTGGTTTGTACTTGTTTAACTTTTGTCTAGATTCTGAACAGATATGAGGAGCTGTGTTGCTCTGAGTGCTAACCAGCTAACGGCTGGTGTTGGTGTTGTGTTTCGCATTGAAGATGACGTCACGGCTCCGCCTATACTGTGTTACTATAGTTACTGCCCCAGTTCCTAAACTGTAATGGAAACGCAGCATAAAGTGATCCTGGCCTACCAAGGCCTAACTATATTAGCAGTGGAAATGCGCCATTAGACATGCAGTCAAAGTATCGCAGATCTCAGTGGACATCCCGCTCTACCTCCTTAACTGCAGCCGCCCCATACAATAAGACTATCCAGGAAGAAAACAGCAATACACTAACCCTCAATACCATTTCCTCATGTGCTACAGGGGCAAACAGCTAACACCAGGTTCAGAGTGTGACAGTGGGATGATTACTTCAGTTATGATTATTGAAGTTAAGCTTATAAAAGGCTAAACTGGCTCACATAATCAACAGTACAGCCAGACTTGAATCGATCAGTTTATTTTCAAATGTGGTTAGCAACTTGGAGGTTTGGGACCAGTCACCAGACTAGGATTAAGAAACATAAAACATTGATGTTTTTACATTTATATACCAAAACATCCTAGTTAACCAACATCTTGAAAAGGGAATTGACAAATAAAGGAAAAAACCCAATTTTATGATTATTTTCTCAAATAATTGTACACATTGAAAACAATGTCAAATCCATTTCCCTTACAATATTTCTAACAATCTCATCATGCGATCGATGTGGGAAAAATATATCCTGCCTTGTTAAGTGTTATTTATTTTTTACTATCAGCCTTTTAGTATCTTGAAATGTACACACGGGACACTAAAGCTCTGCATGTTTCTGTTGAATCACATCAATATGTGACATTTTAGGGTCATTACATTAGACACACACATATGTAATAATCACCATATCTATCATTTCATAAGAGACCAGATATGACCAATATATGATCAGAGATAGTGTGAGATAGCAACAGGAGTATATTTATTCTATCAAACTCTCAGGTGGCTGTGGAGGATGGTGTGTGTTTTGTAAGAGGGCAGACCTCAGTTCAGTTTCCTGAGCCTGCGTCTCATACTTGGAAAGAAGTTATTTTCTACAGTCTTGTTTATCTTTGCCTTGCACGCACAGAATATGTACAAAAATACAAAGCATAAAAAACAAAGTTATGAACTGAGTGTAAATCCATACCTATACTTGTTAAGAATTATTAAAATATGAGTTCTGTCAACATTTTGTACTCTGGTTTGTTCAATGTCTTGTCTCTATGAGTGGGCTTCGCAAAGTCTGAGAAAATAATCCTGATGATTCCACAGTCTTATATTCATTTAGGCTTGAGTCCTTAGACTCAAAATTAATACGGAAAAAAATCTGCATTTTAAAAAACAATGTGAGGTCTTACTGTCCAGCAGTTACCAATGTGTCAAGTTTGTGGAAGTGCAATGCTACATTTTAAGCATTCCAAATATGTCTCCCCTCCCTAGTGTGTCAAGACCCACTAGTATACCATAGTATGAGAAGAGACCATCCTCTCTCTTTCTCCTGCTATGAGAAAAATGTAGGTATAGCAATGAGCTAATGAGATTAGCTGCTGATAAGAAGTCTTACTCTGTAGGGTTGTGCATGAATGTGCTCATGCTTTTAGTGAACTAAACATATCCATTTTGCACTGATATCTGTATATTCCCTCTCCGCCGTCAAAGAGTCAGGAGTCAACTGGATGAGCAGCAAGGTTTCATTTGCTAGGATTATGTTCCTCCCGCGGATACTGTTCTGGGGGCCCGTATCACGTGCGTGTTGCTGAGACTGTTTTCAAGTTGTTATTGAGCCTACATTACGACCATTGGGATGTATCGTACTAACAGACCGTCCAAGAAGTCTGTGTTTTTCAGTAAGTTAAATTCCAGTATTATTTTATTTATGTTAGCACTGATTAGCAGGTATTGGTATGTCTGCTCCATACACTGTATTAAATAGGGGCTACTCAGGCGTGTTAGCTTACTGTAGCTCTAGCCAGTTAGCTAATGATTTAGCTTTTGAGCAATTACCCAAAAATGCTAAACTGAAGTTAATGCTTGACATACAGTATAGGCAGGGAACTCTGGTTCTTTATACATCCAAAACTTAATAGAGAACATTTTTTGGTTTACATTTATATATTGACCATAACCTGTTATGCCCCACCTTAAGGTGGCCCCATTAGACTAACAAAATCCCAACTCTGACCAGTGGCGGGTGGTGGAAAATATTTTTGGTGGGGCTGTTGATATAGTGAGTAAACATTTTTTTTTTGGGAGAAATGACCCCTTAAATTGGGACTTCTGGTGATGTAATGGCCCCATAAAATCGTGGTTCTAGGGCCAGGAACAACCAGGCTGAGTCGGGCTGAGTATGCTAAACTAACTGCGGTCAAGCCAGCCTCCACTCGGGAAAACCTAGTCAAGCCAGCCCTCACGTGATATTGGGGTGCGCGAATATCCTATGCATTACGGTAGAGTAAAAAAAAATCATCCCTCTGTGTTTAGATGAGAATAAAACAAAAACTGTTTTGTATCAAAGACTCATTTCAATTCAGGGTGATAGCAGGACATCCCATCTAGTCACTCAGAAAAAATCAGGACATTCTGATGTAGAGTTTCAAAATAAAAGACCTTTGAA